GAGAATAACACAAGCTGCATTTTAGTTTAATTCAAAAAAAAAAAAAAAAAAAAAAAAAAAAAAAAAAAAAAAAAAAAAGAACTGAACCTTTTAAAAAACTGGAGAAATCTGTTTCCTGTGCATCACTATAATCCTTCCCTGGTAGTTCGAGATCGAGGTGAGATTGTAACGTTTCTACCATCTCTGCAGCTAACTCTCTCTTGACCTAGTTGTTCTTTTACTTCAGGAACTCAGTAACCAGAGTTAAAAGGTGTTTATGATAAAGCTGTGTTAGTACACAACTGGTGCTATCATTAATCGTAGATGATTTATGAAGAGTGCAAAATGCATGTCGGAAGTAGTTAGAAAATATAGAATAAATCAATTCGACACTTCAAGGGGACAAGGGGAACTAGAAAGAAATTGGTGAGCCTTATGTAGTAATTTATTCTAAAAAGGTTTAAAGTCCAAAAGATTCAAATTCTGTCTTTACTGAGGGTGTGCTTGTACATTTTGAAACCCAATACTCGTTTGTCTCAATGATTCTTACCAATAACTATTCTTGGTCTTCTTGGGCATTCGTGTTAGTGGAGGCTCCAGGCAGCCCAGGTGATAATAAAGCTTGCATGTGTCGCACAGCACCAGCAGATGTTGGTCCTGGTTTTTCTTACAGATTCCACAGCTGCAGAAATAAATCATGGGCAAATGGAGAAGAGTATTAAATGTAGATGAGAAGAATTACTGATCACGAGTTGGGTTCTTAATCAGAAGTGAGACGAAATAAAAAAATTAAATCTGTGAAATGTGTTTTGTTGAAGAAAGAAAGAAAAATAAGTTTTGTCTATTCCTCTCAAAGCCTGTGTTTACCTGTAAAGTATCGCCGGCAGGCTAGATGACTTTCCAGGAGTTCCTCCTTCCTTCTTGCTTGGCTTTCTTTCTTTTGGAGCTTTTAAAATTGCAGGAGTGTTTAATTTCTACAAAAACAAACAACATTTATGTTAAATAACAATCAGCAGCAGCGTGTCTATCCTGAAATAGACAGAAGTAGTATGAATGAAGTGCTCAATGTGAGGCAATGCTTCCAAAAACAATTAGAACATTTGGGACCCATTAAATCGAAATGAGGATTAAGTCAAATTTGGTCAAAATGACCTAATTACAGTTTCAGATTATTGGCTTTAAAAGCTACATTTTGATACCTAAATCATTCTGATATCATAATTAAATCCATATATATGACTTAATTTGTCTTGTTGGTTACAATAATACATAAATATTTGGTCTGAATCCTAATTTAATGTCATTTTAATTAGGGATTTTTGATGTCCTTATAAAGAGGAAACTTCATATTATATTTGAATATTGAGATTTCCCAGCTAAAAAGAAACAAAACTTAGCTAGCTCACAGGGAAAATCTCAAAATTTTAAAAGGCATTTTTCCTCAAAATCAGGTTTTTTGTTGCTACTGCTCAAAAAAGTGCTTCAAAATTTTGTTTAATGGTTATATTTCAGACAGTTCATTCAAATGCTACTTTAATAAGGTATTTTATTCATTATATTTTGACAAAATGCAATTTTTGTTAACATTTTAGTCAAAACACTATATTTGTCTATTTCTCCATTTATCACTTTTGGACTTAATCCTCATTTCGATGTGATGGGTCAAAACTACAACAAATGTTTCAACTGTTGAGTAAGATAATATTTTTAATATACATGTACACAATGAGGTCAGAGCATAACAACTACTAATGAAACATTGATACATTATTATTTGTGTTTGAAGGGCTGAATTTTCACAGCTGTTGTTCAGGTAACTCACTTCTAAAGAGATTTTAATTAGTTCATCATCAAAATAAAAAATGGACAATCTAAATAACAGTTTAAAGGCACAGTAAATCTTTTTTTTTTTACAAAGATATGAGTAAAAATAAATAGGGACCTGTTGTATGGGTGCAGAACTGACAGCAGATAGTCAGATTATTCTCATCCGAATCTCAGATGCAGCACTGCCATGAAGGTTAATTAGAAAATTTATCTAGTAGGAACTGAGTCTGTCACTACACAGACAAGGTTTCCCCTGAGGACGCTCTAATCTGAGCATGCAAGCTCAGCCTGAAGCTGCGGACACCTCCCAGCAGGAAGACCTGATAGGTAGGGGAACAAGTGACCAAAGCAGAAGGGCTTGCTGAGAAGACCTTAACCTGATCTGAGGTCTACAAGCATCCAGCCAGGAGAGAACCTGCTGATAGAAAGTAGTTTAAGAACTGATGTTACTTAGATTGATAAAGTCGTACGGAGAAACAGACTAAAAAAGTTTAGCAAAAACCAAGGCTTTTAAGTGTCAGACTGCCATATCCTTAGGGAAATAAAAATCCATCAAAACATTGGAATGAAGGAACAAACTGGGCACTGCCTTTGCTTAAAAGCACTTTCATCATTTTGCATACACTAAAAATGTAAATGTCAAGCAGAGGCATACCCCAGAACTTGAAAAACATTGCAAAGGTGAGACGAGGCCCTTCATAAATACTTGTGCAGGTTCAAGTCGACTTCTTCAGCTTTTAGACTAATCCTCGCTTGCCAAAATCTTTGTGCCCTAAAGCTACAGTTATCTGAGACACTCTGATTTTACACCAGATTTGACGAGGATTAAAAGTAACTTCTCGGTTGCATTTTAGGGATAAATGTAGATATAGTCACGGTGATGGCATCCATAAGCTCTGTAATCTTTTACTAAATGTTTTTAGGGTGATTTTAATATTTTTGGCTAATTTAGATCTCAATTCTAAATAAATATTTTGACCAGGACTCAGAAAATTTAAATTCTAAAAAATTATATCAGATATTTTGAGTGTGCTCTGTGTTGTTGTATTCAATATTTATCACAAAACAGTTCCACAAAATGGCTGCAAAGACTGGTCCAGGCATGAGCAAAATCCTGGTCCTGGAGGGCCGCAGCCTCTGCTCCAACACACCTGATACTGTATGAATGGATGATTATCAGTCTTCTGCAGTATGGAGAACCAAAACTGACATTACTAGAAATAAAAGCAGAATTACACTCACCGGCCACTTTATTAGGTACAMCTGTCCAACTGCTCGTTAACACTTAGTTTCTAATCAGCCAATCACATGGCGGCAACTCAGTGCATTTAGGCATGTAGACATGGTCAAGACAATCT